AGCAGTAGCAGCAGCAAACGCAGCAGTAGCAGTGGTACCAGCAGTAGCAGCAGGAGCCCCACGAGCAGCAGCACGTGAGAATAGGGTGGTCCGAGGTGGATCGCAGGGCATCTTTCGACCAGCGCGGTGGCATTAGTTGGGGGCTGAGGGTGGGACCCCAAAGAGTGCCATGGCAAGAGTTGCAAGGTGTGCCCCACGATCTGACATGCAAGATGATACCCCTGCTAAGGTTTCGCGCGACGAACATTGGGCGAAACTTTGATTCGCCGCCCGACTTCAAGCCGGATCATTCTCGCACTGCCCAGTTCTTCAAAGCGCCATGCACTTGCAGGTACGCGCACGATGGCACCAAGAGACACGACAGCTTCTCGCACGGCGCTGGCGACTCTTACGAGACCAAGGTGTTCGGCGAGCTGGAGAAGTTCCTGGCGGAGTCGCTCGGCTTGTCGCAGGCGTCTGAGTTGCCGAACTGCTGGGCGGTGAACGCTTATGATGATCCTTCCGAGTGCATCAGCTGGCACGCGGACGACAGGGAGTTGTTCGAGTCGGCGGGGAGGGAGGCCAACCTTCTGTCAGTTCCACTGGGCGCTGACGGCCTCTTCGGCTCCCAGGCGGCGCCGCGCGGCCCTCCGGCGACGGATGTCGGCGACGGATGTCTTCAAGGCTACAGGGGCGAAGCTGGCGAGTCAGCGCGCAGAGCGCGAGCTGCTCGGCGCGGCTCATCTGGGGCGCGGAACTTTGGCTTTGACGGGCGGAAGGTTCCAGAGAGACCTCCAACAGTGCACTATTGCCGCTTCCAACTGGACCTTGCTCTGGACCGCTGGCACTCGCGCGCGGAAGCGATGCTGCGCGGAGCCGACGGCTGCGAAGCCGCGCATCAACCTCACCGGCCGGTGGGCCCGCAAACACGCCGCCGGGCGCCCCTACGAGCGCGGGCTTTCGTCGGTCAGCCAGGCAGCGCACTCGGGTTCGCGGCGTTCTGACGCGGCTGCGACTGCATCCGCGCATTGGCCACCTTTCGCCGAGACATCCAGCGCCCCCGCGAAGCTCCTGGGCGCCGCTGCAGCGACTCCCGTTCTGGCGCCGGCGCCCGAGGTGCTCGCGCCGACACCCAGCGCGCTTGCGACCGCATTTGTCACCCAGCAGCGGCCGCTCGCCGTCGCGCCGGCAGCTGCCACCGCGAACGACGCAGCTGCGGTCGAGCGCACGGATCCGATAGGGCTGCTATGGAATACAGTAGGACCCCTATGGAATCCGATCGGGTTGCTATGGGACCCTCTGGGATCGTCTATGAAATCCTATCGGATCCCGATGGAATCCTTTAGGGCCCCGCTGGAATCGAACAGGATCGATTATGGAATCCAATAGGATCGTGATTAAATCTTATAGAACTCTATGGGATCCCGTCGGGGTCCCATAAGGTCCGCATGGAATTCCACTGGAATCTGCATGGATCAAATTTGATCCCAATAGGATCCGACTACAGTGGGATGCCACTGGGACCCCCATAGGACTGAGATTACAAGAGGATACCAGTAGGATTCCGATCACAATAAGATTATCGTCGGTTTCCAAGTGGAGTCCGAGTGCAATAACATTCCAGTCGGATTCCAGTAAGAATCCAATTACATTACAATCGGACACCGAATACAAGAGGAATCCGATTGCACAAGGATTCCGGCTACACTAGGATTCCGATTACACTAGGACACCTCGATTACTACAGGATCCCGATCACATGGGATGTCGATTATGAGAGGATTTCGATTACAATAGGGTTCCGTTTACAGTCAGACCCCACCGGAACCCCAACCTAAACCCAAACTCAAACCTCACCAGCAATAAGTCAAGTGTGACCCAGTAGCACTCGCAGCAGCAGAAGCAGCGGCAATACCAGTAGTAGTAGCAGCAGTAGCACTAAAAGCAGCAGCCGTAGCAGTAGTACTATTACTACTACTCCTACTACTACTACTACTACTACTACTACTACTACTACTACTACTAAGATTACGACTACGACTACTACTACGACTCCTACTACTACTGCTCCTACTACTACCACTACTACTACTACTACTACTACTACTACTACTACTACTACTACTACTACTACCACTACTACTATTACTACTACTACTACTACTACTACTACTACTACTACTACGACGACTACTACTACGACTACTACTACTACAACTACTACTGCTACTACTACTACTACTACTACTACTACTTGCACAAGTAGTAGAAGTAGTATTGTTAATCATGGTAGGAGCAGCAGCAGTAGCAGTAGCAGGAGCACCAGCAGCAGTAGTAAGAGTAGTAGCAGCAGCAGCAGTAGTAGCAGTAGCAGTTGCGGCAGTAGTAGCAGTTCAGAGTAGCAGTAGTAGCAATAGTAGTAGTTGTACTAGTATCAGTAGTAGTAGTGGTAGTAGTAGTAGTAGTAGTAGTAGTAGTAGTAGTAGTAGTGGTGGTAGTAATAGTAGTAGTTATAGTGGTAGTAGTAGTAGTGACACCAGTAGTAGCAGCAGCAGTACTTGTAGTAGCAGCAGTAGAAGTAGTAGTGGCAGCCGTCGTAGTAGCAATGGTGGTAGCAGCAGTAGTAGCAGTAGCAGCAGTAGTAGTAGTAACAGTGGTAGTAGTAGTAGTAGCAGCAGCATCAGGAGTATCAGCAGAACTAGTAGCAGTCGTAGTAGCAGCGGCAATAGATGTAGTAGTAGTAGCAGCAGCAGCAGTAGTAGCACTAGTACAGTAGTAGGCGCAGTAGTAGCAGCAGCAGTATCAGTAGAAGCAGTAGCAGTAGTAGTAGTAGTAGTAGTAGTAGTAGTAGTAGTAGTAGCGGTCGTAATTATGGCAGCAGCAGTAGAAGCAGTCGTATTAGCAGCAGCGACAGTAAGTAGTAGTAGTAGAAGTAGAAGCAGCAACATGAGTAGTAGTAGTAAAAGCAGTAGTAGTAGTAGAGGTAGTCGTCGCCGTGTCAGCAATGCAGTAGCAGTAGCAGCAGCACTTGTAATAGTTGTAACAACAGCAGCAGAAGCGCTAGCAGTAGTAGCAGCAGTAGCAGGACAAGTAGCAACAGCAGTAGTAGTAGTAGTAATGATGCTAGTAAAAGTCGCAGTAGTAGTAGTAGTAGTAGTAGTAATAGTAGTAGTAGTAGTAGTGATAGTAGTAGTAGCAGTAGTAGTAATGGCAGTTGTGGCAGTATATGTAGTAGTAGCAGCAGTGGGTGTAGTAGTAGTACCAGTAGAAGCAGCAGTAGCAGTAGCAGCAGCAGTGGTAGAAGTAGTAGGAGTCGCAGCAGTAGCAGCAATAGTAGAAGGAGTCGCAGTTGTAGCAGTAGTAGTACTGGTAGTAGCAGAAGTAGTCGCAGCCTTAGTCGCAGTACCAGTCATCGTCGAGGTTGCAGTTGTAGTGGCAATAGTAGTAGTAGTAGTAGTAGTAGTAGTAGTAGTAGTAGTAGTAGCAGCAGCAGTAGCAGTAGCAGCAGTACTAGGAGTAGCAGTGGTAGTAGTGGTAGTGAAGCAGTGGCAGTAGCAGTAGCAGCAGTAGTAGTAGTAGTGGTAGTAGTAGTAGTAGTAGAAGTAGTTGCAGTAGTAGTCGTCGTAGTTGTGGTGATAGTAGTACTAGCTGTTGTAGCTGTAGTAGTGGTATCAGTAGTGGTGGTAGGTAGCATTAGCAGTAGTAGTAGTAGTAGTCGTAGTAGTAGTAGTAGTAGTCGTAGTCGTAGTCGTAGTCGTAGGACTAGTAGTAGTAGTAGTAGTGGTAGTAGTAGTAGTAGTCGTCGTCGTAGTAGTCGTAGTAGTCGTAGTAGTCGTAGTAGTAGTACTATTGTTAGTAGTAGTAGTAGTAGTAGTAGTCGTAGTAGTAGTAGTGGTAGTAGTAGTAGTAGTAGTAGTAGTAGTAGTAGTAGTAGTAGTAGTAGTAGTAGTAGTAGTATTGGCTGCCGTCGTAGTCGTCAATCGTAGTCGCAGTCGTAGTCTTAGTCGTAGCGGTAGTAGTAACCATTATTGCGTTGCTAGTCCTTCGGCTTAGGAGGATTGCTCTGTGGTTTCACTTCTCCCTTACCGCCGTCGTCATTGGCAGTGAGTCCCCCCCCCTCCGTCCCCAAAAGTAGCACGAGGAGGAGGAGGAGGAGCAGGAGGAGGGAAGGCCCTTCCATCCCGCCTCCGCGTCCTCGTTCCCCATTCACGAGAGACGGCAGATGGCATCCTCTGTACTGGTTGCCTCCCTCATCATGCTCATCCCTCCTCTTCCGATGTCGATTACCCCCCTCATCATCGTCATCATCATCAGCAGCATCAGAATCATCCTCATCACCATCGTCATCCCCATCACCATCAGCAGCAGCATCCTCACAAGCATGAACATCATCACCAGCAGCAGGAGCAGCATCATCACCACAACCATGGACATCAACATCATCCTCAAATCCTCGTCCTCAATCCTCGTCTTCGCTCTCCTCATCACCCTCCCAATCCTCGTCCTCATTGTCATCATTTTCATTATCATCATCATCATCATCATCATCATCATCATCATCATCATCATCATCATCTTCATCCTCATCGTCATCCTCAGTCCTCATCCTCGTCCTACTGCCGAGGTCGGCCCGCAGTTTACTCCCGTCGACCCCTACGCGACGACCGACCGCATGTACATGTTCACGAACCGCACGCCCTGGAAGAAGCCACTGACCCCGCTGCTGCACACGAGGGGGCAGTGCGGGGCGGAGGGCGTCCCGTTCATAGAGGCGCTGGCGACGACGACGACGACGACGACGACGACGAATCCTTAAAAAGTGCGGCGTCGGGCGGGGGCCACGCCTCGCGCGCCTGCCAGGGCGGGGGGCAGGGGAAGGAAAAAGACAAGAGGGAGGGGCAACGGAAGAGACGGGGGGCGGAGGAAGGTCCTGTCAGCGATCTGCCTGATGCGGGGCGGCGCGAGCTCGCGCACAAGACCGCTTCCCGTTAGTGAACCCTCGAAGATGAATTGGCGCACGATCTTCGCTCCGAGTGTCGGGAAAAATATGATGGCCGTATGGATTCTCTGGTCAAGCAGATCACACAATCTACGTCTATCGTGGAGGAGGTAGCAGGAGGTGGCAGACCAGACGCCGGAGCAGCAAGGTGAGGGGCAGGAGAGGGGGGAGGAGAGGGAGGAGGAGGAGGAGGAGGAGGAGGAGGAGGAGGAGGAGGAGGAGGAGGAGGAGGAGGGGGAGGAGGAGGAGGAGGAGAATGCGGAGGAGGGGGATGAGCAGGAGAACGCAGGAGGAGGCAAGAGAAGCAGGAGCAAGAGCAGGTGCCCAAAAACGCCACCACCGTCGAGCTGATCATCAACAACTTGTCTCCCACGGCCCATGTCCTCCACATGCACGGCACGTCCTTCTCCGTGATCGACTACGCCCCCTACTCGGAGTCGTGGTGCAGCGCTGGCCACTTCGAGTGCTTCTTCCTCCCCCTGTCCGTAGCGAAGACACTGGACTGCCAGAGCCCTTGTGGGCCCTGATCAGGCCGGCTAGGCCGGGGGCCAGGAGGCCCGGGAGAGGGAGGGGCCGCACTCGGAGCGTGCCGCGCGCGTGCGGGTGCCGGTGGCATGCAAGAGCGGCAGGAGGTCGCAGTCCTCCTCCTCCTCCTCCTCCTCCTCCTCCTCCTCCTCCTCCTCCTCCTCCTCCTCCTCCTCCTCCTCTCCTCCTCCTCCTCCTCCTCCTCCTCCTCCTCCTCCTCCTCCTCCTCCTCCCCTCCTCCTCCTCCTCCTCCTCCTCCTCCTCCCCCTCCTCCTCCTCCCCCTCCTCTTCTGCCCGTCCTTCGCTCCGCTGAGCTCTGCTTCTGCTGCTGCCTGCACCAGGCAATGAAGAGGGCTGGCTGGGTTCGACTACACGTAAGGGTGACCTTTCGCCGGGGTGACCTTTCGTGCGGGCCCAATGGGGCCCCCGATCACCGAACGCGTTGCGATAGTGGCGTCTCGCGCGCTTGTGTTTGGTCCCCCCGCGGCCCCCTAAAAGCCGCGCACCAAAGGTCGCTCTTGCACAGGGCCACTCCTGCGTGCAGTCGATGGGCGGAAGCGCCCCCGAGGATGAGGCTGGGCCAGGTGAGGAGTACCGCGCGGGCGGAGGATTACACGACCGTGATGTACAGCCTGACTGGGGGAAACAAAAGCAACAAGTAAGAAACAATGAAGAAAAAATGTTGTACAGTAACGACAGAGGCAAACCAAAAAAAAACTTCGGTTCGCGGTCCGCCTTTCTAGACCCCCCTTGAAGACACTTATAGGTAGAATGTTGGCCACGCCTGCAGGGCAAGCCTTTCACCCGGATCGGCTTTCGCGTCGTGGGAAAATCATACCTATCCCCGCTCCCTCCCTCCTCCAGGGCGTCCGCGACTCGGTTCCGCTCGGTCCGTTGCTGCGTTGCTGCGCCCTTCTCGGTTGCTTCCAGCCTGTCGGGTTCGGCAGGCTTCGGCGTCGTCGTCTGTTGGATAAGATTCCAGATCTGTTGTTGCCGTGAACGTCTTTGACCCAATATGCATTCGCGAAGGTCCACGCGGACTTCATGGACCGGCGCTGGACCACCCTCTCTGGCGCCGGAGCGCGCCAGAGGCGCTGCCAGGGGGATCCGCCGCCGATCCAAGGAATCCGCGCGGACCTCCGAAAGAATATGCTTCTCTGGCAGCTGACCCTTCCATGAAACAAACGAGACGCACATAAAGCAAATATTGTTACAGACAGACACACACACAGACACACAGACAGACACACATACGTACATACATACATACATGCATACATACATGCATACATGCATACATACCGACCTACATACATACGTGCGTACATACATACTTACATGCATACGTACATGCGTGCATGCGCACATGCATGCAAGCATGCATGCATACGCATATACGCAAGAATATAAGTATGCATACAAACAATAACATGCACACAAACATACATACATGTATACCTACACGCATACCTGCATGCACATGCATGCATATCTACATACATGCATGCACAGACGTATGCACAGATATACATATAAATACATACGCATACACATACACATGCATACCGATATGCGTGTACACACGCATACACCAATACATGCATACGGTTACAGATATGCATACATATGTATAGATATATATATATATATATACACGTACACATGGACACCTACATACATACACACATACATACATGCATGCATACATACATACATACGTTCACGCAAACATACCCATACATGCATACATACACACATTCGCACATATGTATACATATATACATACATACACGCGTGTATACATACATACATGCATATATACATATGTATATATCTGCATACATATATATATATACACATACATGCATACAAACATACATACATGCATACATGGATGTATACATACATACATACATACATACATAAATACATGTATACATACATGTATATATGCGTACATATACATACATACATACATACATACATACATACATGCATGCATGCATGCATGCATGCATGCATATACGCATACATGCATAACGGCCTTAGGCCCATCCAGCAACCGTGCCTAAATTGTAGGTCTGAGGCCTTTGGGATGTTCGTCGGAATCTCGTCGAGGCCTCTCGGGGACCTCCTGGAGGCAGTTTTGAGGCCTCTGTGGGGCTGCTTGGGGGCCTCTTGGGGACCTCATGGGGCCTCATGGGGGCCTGTCGAAGCCTCCTGGGCACCTCTTGGGGCGGATGGCTCGGATTTTCGGTTCGTCTTCCCCCTCTGGGGCCCCTTTTGGGGCCCTCTTGGGCCGTCTTGTGCGCCTCTTGGGCAGGCGCGCGTAGGCAGCACTTCCGCCCTGCCTGAAGATGGGCTACGAGCAGCGGTCCCGATCGGGCTGGGCCCGATTTGCACGGTACGGGGTTCTGCCCTTGTCGCGTTGATCCCTTCGCTGCCACGGGGCAGGCACTCGAACCATGCCCGTCGAGTTGAATTCCGTGCACTCCGCTTGCAACTGATTGGCCAGAGCAGAGTGGGATCTTTGATCGCCGTAGAATATCTGCCCGATCGGTGATGTGTGTCCGCCCATCTCTTCCACGAGGACCTCCAATCCGATGTGCCCCGTTCCGTATTGGCACTGCGCTGGAGGTACTTGATGCAGGCCGCGAGCTTCGATTGCGCATTCTCGTCGTCTTGCGAGGCCTCCCACATGGATCCCCTCTGCCGTGGCTGCTCATCGATGCGATCATGGGCGATCCCGTCGTTGGTGACCCTCAGCTTGTGCCACACCCCGTCTCCTTCCCCGCTGAATTGCATCTTTGCGCTCCTCGTTGGCCTGGATCCAGTCCCAGCCTGACTGGTCGGCTTCAGAGCCCTGGCCGTCACGGCGTATCACGTCCGCAGACGGCGTCCACACGGGCTCTCGAGCCTGCAGGTTGGCCCTGGAGACGTCCGTGGCACGCGCCAGGGGGGCGGCGCCCTCCGGATGCCCATCGGCGGTGTCTGCACCGCGGCGTTGCTGCTGCGGCTCGCAGCGATACAGCTCGCCCGCTCCCGGCCTGCCTGCGCCCTCGCCTCGGAGAGAGAGGAGGCCAGCAATGGTGCCTCCTGTCTCCGTGGGTCCGTGCCCTCGAGTGCCACCGCTTCTGCACCAATGCAGGTCGTCCATCTGGCTCGCCCAAGAATGCACCTACGCACCCAAGACTCGCCAGAAATATGTAGCGAAATGCACTGAATGCGGATACGATGACTAGAAAGCTCCAAGTGCAACAAGCACGTTTCTAGGATACAAATGAAAAAATGGACACATTACGTGCAAATGATGAGAGCGTGCCGCGGTGGGGGTGGGGCTTGTCCCGTGTGCCAATGATGCGTGCCACCGCGCCTGCTAGGCTCCTCTGCACTCCACAGAAAGTGTGCACCACCTGCTCGCCCGCTGGGACCCATCCACATCACTAGGGTGATTGAAGGACGTTCTGTTTTCCGCACGCGACCAGCTGCCGATGCCATTTACCTTCTCGATGTAGCGTCCGTCGTGAACATGGTCGCGTACTTCCAACTGCACGTGGGCGTTGGCTTCTTGGTCCTATCTGCCAAAACCGATCCAGTAAGCCACGCAGCTCTTTCTCGGGCACTCTGCTGAAATACTCATGATCGTGCCGCCGCAGGTTTCCGCCCAGATCGGGATGAGCGGCAACGGGAAAGGAGAGGGGCGAGCCCGGGGTGCCATCCGCCTCCGCCATGGCGAGATCCTGGGGTGCGCCCGGAAAGTCCGTCAGGCCGCAGTCATGCTCACACTTGGCCAGAGAGCCGTCGAGAACCATCACGTCGTGATGGCAAGGCTCGCCGCCTTTGTCAAGCGAGCGGCCGTCCTTGATGTGCTGCAGTCATCGGTGATCCAGCGCACAGTGCCGTTGCCCGTCAGGCCTCGCCCCCGTGATCAACCACCTCACGCACTGAGCCAGTGTGCGTTGCATGGGGTCGAAGCGTGCTCCCGCCGGTCGTCCGGTGAAAGGCATCCGCTCCGATTGGTACGTGTCGCGGGTCCAGCAGATGAGAGAATTCAGAGTGTGGAGCGATGGGTCGGAGAAACGCCGCTCTGGCGTACGGCCGCGCTGACAGCGTCGTTCCCACGATCTGGCATTGGTGCGGTGCATCCGCAGCAGCATGCGATGAACAGTGATCAGATCAAGCCTGGTCATGTGTTCCCCTGGCAATGACAATAAGTAGCTGTCCTGGGACTATGTCCATTGCTACGGGCGAAGCTCTACCAGATTCCGACTGGTCCCTGCATCCCTGTTTCGCGTGTTGCAGCTGCCAGGGAGGAGTCTTCATCATACAACGCGGCCCTCCTACTCGCCTTCTCGCGGTCTCTGCCCCGTCGTAGCGCCCCGAGGGCGCCGTCTAGTGCATCTTGAGTGAGGCGAAAAGTCTCAGGCTCGTCCTCTGGCACGAACGCCCTGTGCTGGGAATCGAGGTCGATGTACCAGTCACTCGCACCGGGGATGTGGATGCTGCACCAGAGCTCGTCTTCGTGACGGTCCACGTCGACGCAGTGTTGCAGTCCGTCCAAGATGTCCCAGTTCCTTGGATTGTTGTTGGATATATGCCCAGCCAGTAGCTCACGAATTTGGGATACCCAGACGCTGCCGTTGCCGTTGGAGGGTTCTTCCCGAGAGAGCGAAGCCATTGGTAGTGCCCACCTCTCATTGCCATCCTCAAGCGTTGCCTTCCATATCAGGACGAGGATATCCCCGTCTGGCATAGCTTTGGTGAGGCGTAGTGTAAATGGCTGCCCTGCCTGGACCTGATCCTGTTGGTTCCTGCCTGTTGTGCCTGATGCTCCTCAAATATTGGTGAGGCACCGTCGTCTGGCTCTCCGAAATCGATTTCCGACGGCATGCCTTCGTGACCGAACATCCCGCACGGCTCCCGCTGCTCCAGCGGTTCCAGTCGAGTGATACCATCCAATTGGCCGCCTCAAAGCAGCGTGAGGATGGTGGGTGGTGCGAGCCTCGAGGCGCTGCAGAGTGCAGCGAGCGTCTCGGTGGGAAGCTCGTGGGTGCTTCTGGAGGTGCACGCCAATCCAGCCACGTAGTTTGTGTCAGCGCTTGGTCCATGAGCCACATTCCCCACTTTTCAATTGTCTTATCCAGCGAGGGACCTGAGGAGGACGCTGCCGGCACTGTCTACCCAGCGAGGTGCATGTGTGGAACTAGTGGCCCTTCCATGGGAGGGTCTCATTTCAGCGCTACACGGTCTCCAAGCCGCATCTCTTCTGGAGGATACTGTCTTGGTGACCTGCTGCTCTCCCTCCCAGAATTTGCCGTCGACGAACCATGGGACTAAGCACATATAGAATTCTAATTTGCTGGCACGCTCGTCGCAATGAGTGTAGACTCCTTGCGTTCCTCTGAGTGTGCAGTGCCCTTTCTGGTCATCTTCGCTGTTCACAGGCCTCCTGGATGATGTCGTTGAGTGCCTCAATTTGGGTCCCGTGCCACACGCGTATCCAGTCCTTGTCAAGTAACTTCGAGAGTTTATCATTGGAGAGGTCTAGCCACTGAAGCTTGAGCCCTATCGGCTTGTCGATCGGGCCGTCCGAATATCCCAAGTAGTGAGTGGCCGTTGTTGTCCAGAATATCGTGTAAAAAGATCAGAAATCGGGCTGGGTCCGCTCTGGTGCCTGGAGGTGGGTACTGAACACTAGACACAAAAACACACACAGACACACACACACACACACACACACACACACACACACACACACACACACACACACACACGCAACCCAAAAAAAATACTACAAGAAACGACTCCTTCCCTCCATCGTGCTGGCCGTGCGCCTCCCGAGGCCCTGGCGCCCGGGCTGGAGACCCTGGCACCAAGTTCCCGTACGACGCGTACTGGGGTTGCCCCTACGACGCCGAGAAAGACGGCACCGAGGGCGAGGGTCAGGAGGAGGGAGGAGGAGGAGGAGGAGGAGCGAGGAGGCAGGAGGTGCCAATACCCCCCAGGAGGACAGGCGTGCCCCTGGGCATCCGAGAGGGGGTGCGCAGACTCGAAGAGCAGGGCGGCGCTGGAGGTGCCGACGGGGGGCGCACCTCCGACCCGAGGAGTCCGTGCGGAGCTCGGAGACGGCTAGGCCCTCCTCCTCCTCCTCCTCCTCCCTCCTCCTCCTCCCTCCTCCTCCTCCTCCTCCTCCTCCTCCTCCTCCTCCTCCTCCTCCTCGACCTGGGAGCGCCGGGGGCCCCTCGGCCCAGACGTGCAACGTCCTCATCAGCCTCGAGATCTCGGCGTCGCAAGCTTTCCAAGCCAGGCGCGTTCGCAGATCGATTGTCCACGGCGTTCCTTTTCCTGTGCAAGCTCCTCCAGCACCGCCTGCACCCCAGGCCCCGCCCTCTCCGGCCGCCTGGGGCCCCGCCTGCCTGTGCCCTGTCTCCCCAATTAGAGCTGTGCGTAGCCCGCCTAGCTTTTATCGGAAGAGGTTCGCTCTCGCCCCGCAGACCAACAAAAAGTGTTCGCAGATCGATCTGGCTCCGCGAGATGCCGCAGGAAGATGGGGTCGAGGGCTCCAGTCGTGATTTCCCAGGGTGCTGTAGTGTTTCGCGACGTTGGATGCCAGGGCATGAAGACGGCGGTTGCTCGCCCTTTTCGACCTTTGGAGTACGTTTTCGGGCCACAGACACGATTCAGGACTCAAAGTATCTGGGTCTTCTCCTCGTCATTTTCCTAGTGCTCCTCCTCCTCCTCCTCTCCAGACATTTCTGGTAGATGGACTTGTTCAACCCTATCGTTCTTTCCAACGTCCGCCTCCGAGATCTATTGCTGGGCCTCGGGGCTCCAAAATGGATCCCAGACGAAAACACCGTCCCGTGGGAAGGGGTCGAGACCTTAGCGGGCCCTCGAAAAGACAGGACAGTTTTTACAGTTTTCGTTTTTCAGTCATCGTGCCATTTCCAGCGCCGTTTTCTGTTCACGTTTTTGGCGCCCTTGCTTTACCGCTTTTGTTCGCAACCATCCTGTGGTGTTGGGTCCTCGTTTTGGAGAGACAGCGCCCTGCGTTCATTTCTTCCTCTCCTCCTCCTCTTCCCCCTCCCCCCTCCTCCCCCTCCTTGCCTCTGCCCTCCGCATGTTTCCTTTCGGCACTGCAGCGCTTCGTGGCCCCATATGGAGCTCCACCGAAGACCCAAGTGGCAGGGCTCGCATGGCGCCACCGCGCCCATTTCGGTACACCCCTCACACGTTTCGTGGCCCCAAAGGGAGCTCCACGGAGGCCCCAGTGGCTGCGCTCGCACGGCGCCACCAGGCCCATGTCCGCACACCCCTCACACGTTTCGTGCCCCCATATGAGAGCTACACCGAAGGCCCCAGTGGTAGGGCTCGCATGGCGCCACCGCGCCCATCTCGGCGCACCCCTCACGCGCTTCGTGGCCCCATTGGGAGCTCCACCGAAAGCCTCAGCGGCAGGGTTCGCCGGCACACCCCTCACACGTCTCGTGGCCTCATAGAGAGCTCCACCGAAGGCATCAGTGGCAGGGCTCGCATGGCGCCACCGCACACATTTCGGCACACCCCTCACACGTCTCGTGGCCTCATAGAGAGCTCCACCGAAGGCCTCAGTGGCAGGGTTCGCATGGCGCCACCGCACCCATTCCAGCACACCCCTCACACGTCTCGTGGCCTCATAGAGAGCTCCACCGAAGGCCTCAGTGGCAGGGTTCGCATGGCGCCACCGCATCCATGTCGACACAAACCTCACACGTTCCGGAGCCCCATCGAGAGCTCCACCGAAGGCCCCATTGGCGGGGTTCGCATGGCGCCACCGCATTCATTTCGGCACACCCCTCACACTCCACCCAAGGCCTCAGTGGCAGGGTTCGCATGGCGCCACCGCACCACTTTCGGCACACTCCTCACACGCTTCGTGTCTCCATTTGGGAGTTCCACCGAAGGCCTCAGTGGCAGGGTTCGCATGGCGCCACCGCACCCATGTCGGCACAACCCTCACACGTCTCGTGGCCATATAGAGAGCTCCGCCACCGAGTCCATTTCGACACACCCTTTCGCACGTTTCGCTGCCCCATGAGGAGCTTCACCGAAGGCGGGGCACAAAATTGTGGTGCTCACACATGCATATGGTTGGGTCTTTGGCCAGGATAATTTCCGATGGTGGGGACATGGTCCAGATCACATGTTTCTACCGGATCCACACCGTGATCGAATTGGCTCCGAACGTTCTCCGGATCCCCAGATGGCCTAGGCCGTTTCGGTGAATCGATTTTGATCGTTTCGGTGAACGTTTTTCCCAACCACTTCGTGGTGCTGGGTCCTCGTTTTGAAGAGACAGCACCCCGCATCTCCTTGCCTCCCAGTGCCTTCCTCCCTTCTCACGTCCTTGCCTCTGCCCTCCGCATGTCCTCATCGTCATCAGCAGCAGCATCATCATCACCATCGTCCCATAGCCCCATCGAGAGCTCCACCGAAGGCACCAGCGGCAAGGTTCGCATGGCGCCACCGCACCCATTCCAGTACACCCCTCACGCGCTTCGCGGCTCCAGAAGGAGCTCCACCGAGGGCCCAGTGGCAGGGCTCGTATGGCGCCACCGCACCATGTCGGCACACCCTTCACACGTTTCGTAGCCCTACTGGGAGCTCCACCGAGGGCCCCGGTGGCAGGATTCTCATGGCGCCACCTCAACGATTCCGGCACACCCCTCAGAGGCTTCGTGGCCATATTGGAAGCTCCACCGAGGGCCCCAGTGGCAGGTTTCGTACGGCGCCACCGCGCCCATTTCGTCACAACCTTCACGCGTGTCGTGGACACAGGGAGCTCCACCGAAGGCCCCAGTGGCAGTGTTCGCTTAGTGCCACTGTACCAATTTCGGCACACCCCTCACACGCTTCGTGGCCCCATTGGGAGCTCCACCGAGGGCCCCAATGGCAGGGTTCGCATGCCGCCACCGCACCCATGTCGGTACACCCTTCACACGCTTCGCGGCCCCATAAAGGGGGGCCCTCGGGGGCTCGCATGGCGCCACCGCACCAGTGTCGGCACACCCCATCCCACGGTTCGCGGCTCCATTGGGAGCTCCGCCGAGGGCCCCAGGGGGAGGGGAGCGCGGGGGAGGGGGAAGGGGAGGGGGAGGAGGGGAGGCACATGGAGTTGCTCCCTCACGTTTTCGGGAAGGGGCGGGGGGAGGCGGGGGGGCGCGCAGGGGGAGTCGGTCGGGGGATGCAGTCGGAAGGCGGGCGCGCAGGGGCAGCATTCGGGACGTGGTCTTGAGATTGGGAGGACAGCGCCCGAGATGCAGGGGAGGACGGGGAGGAGGACGAGGACGACGCTGCCGACGACGACGATGAGCGCCCCTTCCCTTATTTCGGCTCGTCCTGCCCACAGGAAAGCCAGGCCCCCCCCCCCCGCAGGCAAGGGCCGCATGCTGGAAGCGCCGCTGCAGAAAGACATGATAAGCCTCTGGCGCCGCAGCTGGGCGGTCATCCGGTTCAAG